AGAATGATTTCTAAGACATTGTCCAGTGGGAGAGACAAGATCGGAGTATTGTCAATAGTGGCTGCAAGAAAAACGGAGCCTGTACCGACACTTTTGCTCATGTGGGTATAAAAATATTTCTAGACAGATACTTAGGAAATCATTAATAGCAGCTGGCTCCAGGGAGGGCAGCTGAGGTGGGAAAGGACCTTGTTTCACCCTGTTTGCACTAATTGAAATTTTGGAATAGTGTCGATAGTGGAGGATGATGGACCAGTAGGTAACTTTTTTCCTATAAAACTGTTAATTTTGATCCTTTTCAAAGTTACGTATACATGTAGTATAAAGAATTAAGTGGCTTCAACCTTGGCTGGTGTGGCTCAGTTGGTTGGAGCATTGTCCCATACAACAAAAGGTTGGGGGTTCAGTTCCCAGTCAGGGCGTGTGACTAGGCTGCAGGTTCAGTCCCCACTCGGGGTGCCTTTTGGAGGCAACCAATCATTGATGTTTCTCTTCCCTCCCCCGCCTTTCTCCAAAATCAATAAATATGTATTTTTAAATTTAAAAAAATTAGGTGGCTCCAAAGGGCTAATACCAATAAAGGAATAGGTAGATAAATGATAAAATATGTTTACAGCACAAAATGTGCTGGGGAGAAAAACAAAGCAGAGAAGGTGGACAAGGTGTTGGTGCTGGGGGGAGTCTGTTACTTATTTAATGGAGTGGCCAGCTGACCTCCTATGAAGGTGACGTTTGAATAAAGGCCTAAAGGAGGAGCTGGGCAGATGCCTGGAAAAGAGAGGTCTAGGCAGAGGGAATAGCCTGTGCAAAGGTACTGAGGTGGAAACATGCCTGGTCTGTTTAGGGCACAGCGAGAGGAACTTGTGACTAGAGGGCAGGGAACAAGGGGGCAAGCAGGAGGAGAAGTGAGGTCAGAGAGGTGACAAGAGCCTTGGTGGCTATTGTGGTTATGGGGTACCTTTGACCTCCCTCACTCTAACTTCCTCTCTGCCACAGAGTACACCAATCCAGGACACAACCACCATATCTGAGCTGCCTTCAGAGACCCAGGAGACCCCAGGCCCCACCCTGTGCAGGTGACACCCCTCCCCTGTCTACCACCTACCACCCCTGCCCACTCTCCCCATCCCCACCAGTGTCCTCTCTCCACAGCCCTCTCAGGAAGTCACCCTTGACCCTGGAGGATTTCAAATTCCTGGCAGTCCTGGGCCGGGGTCACTTTGGGAAGGTGAGATGGGGGCAAGGGGTTGAAGAGCTGGGAGTCTACACCCCTGGACCAGCTGCTAAGGCCACCTCTGCCCACTGTGGTTCCAGGTGCTGCTTTCTGAGTTCCGGCCCAGCGGGGAGCTGTTCGCCATCAAGGCTCTGAAGAAAGGGGACATTGTGGCTCGAGATGAGGTTGAGAGGTAGGGACCCTGCTCAGGCCCTCTGAGAACATCAGTCTTCTCTCCTGGGAAATTAAGCTAGCACTTAAGATAATAATAACCCTTAGAAAACACTCACTCTACACTTTACATTTAGTAACTCATTTGTTCCCCACAACAGCCCTAGGTGGTAAATACTGTTATTGCTCCCATTCTGCTGATGGCACAGAGAAGGTGAGCAAGTTGCTCACACAACCAGTGAGGTCACACAGCCAGTAAGCATCAGGTCCAGGATTATTTAGATCTAGGGACTCAGGCCCTGAAGGCTGTGCTCTTAATGGTGCCATTGCATTTCTTCTGCTTTGGGGTCTGGGCCCTGGGTTCAAACCCCATCTCTGCCACAGACATACTTAGAGATCCTGGGCAGGCCCTTCTGAACCTCAGCCTCCCTATCAATAAAAGAGGAATAATAATGCCTTTCTTTTAAAGGGTAATCAGGTAGATTAAATGAGAGACCAAATCTAGAGCATTGTGCACAGTGCCTGGTCCCCTGTAAATGCTTGATGGGAACACTGATCACCTTGACATCCTTTTGTTAATCAGGAATCCAATTCAGACAGGCTTAAGCAAATAGAGGAATTTATTGCATTGGATCAGAAACATCCAGGGGTGTCTACCTTCAGGCATGGCTGTATCCAGGTGCTCAGATGTCTCTGTTCTAGTTTCCTGTGTATGGGCTTTGATTGCAGACCCCTCGTGGGGACAGAGAACAGAGACATCCCCACTCCACCCCACCCCAGCAGTTTTAGGCTCATCCACCAGCTTTAGCCCTTCTTCCTTAAAAATTCCAGCAGAGCCCTGACCAGTATGGCCCAGTTGGTTGAGCATCACCCCACAAAGTGAAAGGTAGCTTGGCTTGATTCCCAGTCAGGGCATACGCGTGGGTTGCAGGTTCAGTCCTTGGCTGGGGTGCGTATGAGAGGCAACCAATCGATGTTTCTCTCCCTTTTTCTTTCCCTTCTCCTCTATCTAAAAATAAATAAATAAAATCATTTTTTTTTAAATTGCAGCAGAGTGAGCCCTGCTGGCTTGGCTTCCTCATTCCTGATCAATTCCTGGCCAGGGAGAGGGGGTGCTCCAATCAGCTTACCCCTGGAACCTCCCCATAAAGGAAGTTGGGAGTCTGTTACTAGGATGACAGATGGATTCTAGGTGCCTGTTTAGCAGAGGAGGCTGCTGAGGTTCAGAGATATTGAGCAACTTGCCCAAGATTTTACAGCCATTAGAGGCCCTCAACAAATATCTGATTCTTGAGGACCTAGGGAGTGTGAGAGTTGGGGGGTAGGGAGCTGTGGTGCTCTCTGACCCCTGTCCCCCCCGCCCAGCCTCATGTGTGAGAAGAGGATCTTGGCAGCAGTGACCAGTGCGGGACACCCCTTCCTGGTGAACCTGTTTGGCTGTTTCCAGACACCAGAGCACGTGTGCTTCGTGATGGAGTACTCAGCTGGCGGGGACCTGATGCTGCACATCCACAGCGATGTCTTCTCCGAACCCCGTGCCGTGTGAGCCTAGCTCCCCTGGCCTCCCGCCCCCGGACACCCCATGCCTCAGTCCCTTTCCTGCTCCTTCCCCTGGAAACCCTGCCCTGCCCCCAGATCCTGGAGTCTGGGGCGACAGGGGACTTTGAGGATCTGATAACCAGATTTATATGATCTTCCCTGGGGGGAGGCCTGGCTCCCTCATGCCAGCCTCTCTCTGCAGCTTCTATTCAGCCTGTGTGGTGCTGGGGCTGCAGTTTCTCCACGAACACAAGATTGTCTACAGGTGTGTGTATGTGGGGAGGTGCGTGCGTGCGTGCAGGTGCTTGTGCATGCATGCTCTGCCCACAGGTGTTCAGGCAAGGCCCCCATTCCCACTCATCCCTCTTTTACATCCCCCCAACCCCTCACAGGGACCTGAAGTTGGACAATTTGCTCCTGGACACTGAGGGCTATGTCAAGATCGCAGACTTTGGCCTCTGCAAGGAGGGTGAGGGGTGGGGTGGGGATCTGCGGGCATTAGACAGAGTTGGGGTGGGGGATGGAGTTCCCAGCCCTACCAAGGTTATCTCACAACCCCGCCGTTGATCCTGGGACACTAACTCCACTCCTCAATAACCTCCCATGTCCCTGCTGCCCCAGGGATGGGCTATGGGGACCGGACCAGCACGTTCTGTGGAACCCCGGAGTTCCTGGCACCCGAGGTGCTGACAGACACGTCGTACACGCGGGCTGTGGACTGGTGGGGGCTGGGCGTGCTGCTCTATGAGATGCTGGTTGGTGAGGTGAGGCCCCAGCTTGCCCCCACCCTGCTTGTTCTGGGGATGGCACTGGGACCTGCATGTGCCCAGGGCTGGAATCAGAATCTGGCTCCACCACATGTTGTGTGATCAGGGGCAGGTGGTTTCTCTTCCTTGGCCTCAGTTTTCAAATTGTAAAATGGGGACTTACCCTTCACATGAAGTGCAGCCAGAGCAGAGGGTTTGGGTGGGTCTGGGCATGGCATGGCCCAGTTGCCCAATTCGTTTACCTTGTTCTTCCTGTCCGTAGTCCCCTTTCCCAGGGGATGATGAGGAAGAAGTATTTGACAGCATCGTCAATGATGAGGTTCGCTACCCCCGATTCCTGTCAGCTGAAGCTATTGGCATCATGCGCAGGGTGAGGACCCTCCAAGCTGGGGTGGGCCTGGGGAGGGGTTCTGGGGTCCAGAGGGGAAGACTGACACAGTGCCCCACCGCTCCAGCTGCTGCGGAGGAATCCAGAGCGGAGGCTGGGGTCCAGCGAGCGGGATGCAGAGGATGTGAAGAAACAGCCCTTCTTCAGGGTGAGAACCCCCGCCCCCACCCCCGCACACACACTCTGCAAGGGCCTGGTCATCTCCCCTTAACAGCTCACTGCTTTACCTCCAACGCTGGCACCCCACTGACCCTCATATACCCACGCCTACTCCAGGCCGCCCTGGTCCGAGCCATTGCCCTGTGTGTGAGCCCAGGCTCTCCCCCGATCACCCTGTGACCCTTCCTGAGCTCAGTTTCCCCTACTTTGCCCTTTTATCTTGTGACTCATTAGATAGATCTCCACAGATCCAGGGCTGGATGGGTGCATGGGACTGGCTCCCCAAGCCACCCGTGCCCCAACCCTCACGCTGACCTTCCCCCACGCCACATACAGACCCTGGGCTGGGACGCCCTGCTGGCCCGCCGCCTGCCGCCGCCCTTCGTGCCCACGCTGTCGGGTCGCACGGATGTCAGCAACTTCGACGAGGAATTCACAGGGGAGGCCCCCACGCTGAGCCCGCCCCGAGATGCGCGGCCCCTCACTGCCGCGGAGCAGGCGGCCTTCCAGGACTTCGATTTTGTGGCGGGGGGCTGCTAGCCCTGCCCCCTGTCCTTGCTCCCACCCAGCTATTAGTTTTTAAAAAATGCCTTTGGGGTTTGCTCTTTCCATGCATCCCCGGCTCTTCTTGTTCGTAGTAATGGGAATGGAGGGCCGCGATCAGAGATGGGGAGGGGGATGGGAGCGTCGGGAATGATGAGACGTCCTGGGTTATGGTGAGGGGTTATTTGAAGAGGGTCAAGGGAGAGTGGGCACTCGGGGCTGTCACTATGGCGGGGAGCACGGACAGGCCAAGAAGGGAGGCGATTCGGAGCTGTGTTGAGGGACATCTAGAATTAGAGGCAGTGACAGGGCGTGGTTGGTTGGCGGTACGGCTTTGGGGCTGTGTTGGGGAGCTCAGAGCCACAATAGGCAAATGGCTGCGGGAGCCAGTCCTGGCAGCGGCAGGGGCAAGAAGCACTCTACAACTATCGCTGCGCTCCCGGTGGAGCCCGGATCCTGGTGCTGCGGTCCCTCATTTTGCACAGGGTCCTGAGTCTCTGGCTCCGTGTGGGACGTCTCTGGGTCCCCGTGTGGCAAATCCCGGAACTGTACCCCCAGAGGAGCACCCTGTGCCTCTGCCAGCCACTGTCCCGCCGCCCCCCCCCCCCGCAGTCACATGCGTGTTGCAGCCCCAACCGGACACGTCGCCCTGGGCTGGTCTGCAATATGGCTTTATTTCTGGAAGGCATTGCGCTGCGGACCTTGCCTGGGCCAGAGTGGTCTACCTTAGCTGCTGGGCCTCCAGGTGTGTTTAGAAGTGACTGAGGCCACTATGCTGGGAGCTTCGCAGTGAGCTGGCTTCCCAGGCACTTCTGGTTAGGCCCAGCCCTGCGGGGCTGCCCTTGGCACTGGACCTCGGGGGTAGGAGGCGAAGCAGTTGGCGCAGCACGGCCTGGCGCAGCAGGATATACACCCAAGGGTCCAGGATCTGGTTCCACGAAGCGAGGCGCACTGCCAAAAACAGCGGCCGCTGCAAGGAGCTGGAGCCCCAGCCCCCGACAGCCAACACCACCAACACCTGCGGAAGAAGCCGGTGTGAGCTTGTGAGAGGTGCGGTGGGTGTGAGAGAAGGGGATCAGCGAAGCGTGGGGCTGAGAGGGGTGGGAACATGACCAGAAGGTAAGGGGGCTGTGAGGGGGAGCGGAGCATCACAAGGGTAAAAGGCTGTCTTTCTGGAAAGACCAGCGGAGCTTAAAGGGCGTGGCAAAAGCAAAGGCCTTCATTGGGTGGGGGCTAGAAAGAAGTCCCGGTGTGCGGAAGGGCAGCACTGGAGGGGAGAAGAAAAACGGAGTGGGGTGGAGGAAGGCGGCTGGCATGAAGCATCGGACCTAGAGGGGTGGGGCTGGGGAGCGGGCATGTGTGGGTTGGGGTAAACTACAAAGACCTAGAAGGAGTAAGTTAAAGATAAAGGGGCTGGGAGGAGGGGGTGGGATGACAGAGGGAGAGGGCAAAGGGCAGGCTCTCCTGTCTGGCAGGGCTTCGAGGAGGCGGGGCCCTGGATGGGGAAGGGAAGGAGGACCCAAGTATTCTCAGATGGAAAAGGGCAGGCAGGGCCACGGCGGGAGCGGAAGAGAAGGGAGAAGTTTGGCTGGAAGGGCCGGTGTGCCCCTCACCAGCAGTGGGCTCCAGCAGATGCATGACACCACCATGATGCCCACGAGCTGGCCCACCATCTCCACGTCGTGGGCGCGGGCTCTACGCGCTGAGTCACGGCCTAGGATGTCGGGGGCAGCAGAGACCGAAGCTACGGAGGAGGCGGAGGCCGAGCGGAGTCTGCGTGCGCCCCAGCGCCTGTGGCTGTTGGAGCCTGAGGTCGGGAGTTGCCGTCGAGAGCAGCGGCGGCGCCAGCGGGCGCGCAGCAAGGCCAGGCCGCTGAGCGTGTTGCACACGAGCGCCGCGAGCAGCGCGGCCAGGCCGAGGCCGGCGAAGAGGCTGGCGAGCAGTGCCTGGCGCCAGCCACCTGCTGGGCCCAGGCCGATGAAGCACCATGTGCCGGGGTACTGCAGCTCGTAGTGACCCACTTGCACCACCGGCAGCAGTGCCACGGCCAAGGCCACCGCGGCCAGTATGGCCAGCGCAATGCGCGCACGGGCCACCGAGACGCGTGCCGCGTGCAGCAGAGGCCGCGTGACCCCCACGCAGCGCTCCACTGCCATACCGCAGCCCAGTAGCAGTGGGCACAGGCCAAAGAAGACCATGCAGCCGCCCAGGAAGTGGCAGGCGCCTCCGGCCGGTGAGCGTCCAGCTGTATACAGGCGCAGCACCAGTGCACCTGGAATTACGTGGCCTGCAAGGTCAGTGGCCAGCAGGCTGGCTACGAAGAGCAGGAAGATAGCGGCCGAGCGGCGGCGGCGCAGTCGGCTCGAAGCCTGAGCCAGCAGTGCCAGCGCGAGCACGTTGGACACAGCGCCCAGTGTCATGGAGAAGATGGGCAGCGCCGGCGAGGCGCCCCCGAGGCCGGACGGCGGCCCAGCGGACGCGTTGGGGGCCCCAAGCGCTGTACATGTGGTCGCCTCGTCCGCTAGGCTCAGGTTGAGGGGCTCGTAAGGGTTCATGTCAGGTACTGGGGTGGGGCTGGGGAGAAGAGAAGGGAAAGTTGAGACTGGCTCAGGGCACAGAACCCACTGTTGGGCTGGGACCTGCTTATGGTCCCTTCTCAGAGCATTAGAGCCCATGTGGGCCTGTGGCAACTCCTATGACCCTTGCTGCCCAGGTCCTTACTCCTTTCTGGTTTCTCACCATCCCAGCTCTTGCTCCCAGCCTCCCTGTGGCTCCCCTGGCTCTAGCCCTCCTGTCTGTCACAGCCTCTGGGCCTCACAGACCCACCTCCCATTTACACCACATTAAATTCCTGGTCCTTGGTCCCATTTCTGATCCCAAGGCCCCACTGCCCCATCTTGGACAGTCATGTCACCTCTACTCCAGTCCCATGTGCGATGCCCACAGCTCCACTTCTGCCACTGTGGACCCCTCTCTCCCCAATGCACTGTCTCTATCCACATGGTCCCACTACAGTCCCCACAGACCCACTTCTGTCCCTCACATGCCCATCTCTGAGCTCCACTGCTGTCTCTCACTAAGGCTCTACCCCTGACCACAGCTGCCTCACCCTGGATGCCCAGGGTTCCACTCTTGCCAGATCCATGTTCCTGCCCAAGAGGCCTCCAGGCTGACCCAGGACCACCCACTCCTTGATACCCGGTGGTGAGGGCCGAGAGGACAGAACTGCCCCCTGGGTCAGACGGGAAGGGAGAATGGACAGATGGGAAGAGCGGTAGGGACAGATGCGGCTGAGAGTCAAGGAGCACAGGTTGGGACAGGCAGAGGGAACCATGGCCCCGCCCTTCCTGCCCTCCAGCCCCACCTGAGATCCTTGCACCCCAGCCTCCTTACCTGGTGGTGCCTGGGACGCCGGGTCCCCATCGCCTGCTCCTTGCTGCCTGCTGCACCTCCTGCTGCGCCCGAGCTCTCTGGCAGGCCGCTTCCTCCCTCCCTTTCTACAGGGGCGGCTCCTCAGCTCCCTGCCTCCCCCCTGTCCCCCCCGCTGCCCACTCAGGCCTCCAGGGGGCTGTTCCACCCAGCACCAGCCTGCTGGGGTCCTAGGGTTGTAGAGACCCCATCTCGGTGCTCCTGGCAATGGGTGGAGACCACTCTGGGCCCCAGCTCCCCTATAAGGAGGTGCTCCCAGAGCGTTGTCCTGGCCCCCTGTGATCCCCTCCGCCTGGCCAGTCGGGCAGGAGCACCCCCCTTCCCCCCAGGCTCAGGCCTTTCGCCTGCCTCATTAATAAAGTGGATAAAATCTAAACACTGGAAAATGTGAGCGTCACCAGGGGCGGGCTGGGGTGGCTGCAGGGGGTGCCGCTGCACCCACGGGGCTGCGAGGTTGAGAGGCTAACCCTGGTGGAGGCAGTAGGACGCTTTTACCCTGCCAGAGCCTTCATGCATGTTGGGTGGGTGGTGATGAGCAGTGGCCTTGGTGGACTAGCTTGGGTCAGACCCAGCAGGCCACAAGATCCGCCCACTATTTACACAGGGGCTTAAGGCCCAGGCCAGGGCAGTGGAGAGTCATACCCATGGAGGGAAGGAGGAGGAGGCCCAGAGATGGGGGAGACTCTCCTAGGTCCCACTTCAGGATGTGGTGAGCGACACCTGGGACACACCTGTGGACATACAGCTGCAGCCTCACCTCCTGCTCTGAGAAGGGGCACACACACAGTCTCACATCTAAAGACACACTAGTATATCCCCTAACACGCTGAGACCAGCCACCATCTCAGCTTGTCCCCAGCCAGTCACATTCTTCAGAGCCTTGGGATCAGCCATCGTCACACCCCTGAACTGAGAGATATTTGCACCCCCAGCACCAGAGACATCCCCATAGTTACCAACTCACACTGGCCACCCTTCTCAACACCCTGAAATGCAGCCCCCTGAGATCCTTATCGCTGATACAACCCCTTACCCACATCCATATCACCCAGATACCTCCTAACAGTCCAGTACAAGGAGTCCCTGGACACCCCGAGATCTTTGCCTGTTACCTCCTACCCCTGCCCTAGAAACCAGAACAGCCAGACACACACGTTCACAGTTCTGCAGTCACAGCCCCACTCCATGCAGACACTGCCAGTTACACCCACAAACACCCTGGCACACAGTCATTGCACCCGGTTTCTTCAACAGTTACAGTGCTCAGTACGGTCACAAATCATAAACACTCCAATACACACAGCCCTACTCTTAACACATACACCACACCCTTCAAACCAGAGCCTTCTACTGGCACACACACAACACCCACCGGTGCTCAAGAGTGCACAGAGTAACCCCAACAGCCGCTGCCCCTGTCCCACTAGAGAACACGTACCCTAGCCCAGTGGTCCTCCCACCTCCCCTACCCCGGGGGCCAATCGCCCACCCAATAGAAACGGGGAACGGACTAGGCTCACATTTTCCCTCAGCTCACCCTCAAACATTCCTGCAGGGACCTCCGGCCTAGCTGGCTCCCCTCCCTTCAATCCTGGCTTTTCCCTCCAAGTCTGGCCAAGGTCCCACCGACCCCCCCTTGCCCAATTCCCCTTCAATCCTCAAGGATGAAGTAGGTTGTCAAAACAAGCAGGCCGGGCTTATGTCCAGTGCATGGCCCAGCCCGCCATGAACACCCGCAAACCCTGCACGTCCAGCAGGCTGTGTGCAGTGGTATCACGACTGCTCCCCCAGCTTCAGGGCGGACTCCTCCCCAGCGCGCTGGCCCCAGCAGGCCTGAGGCTCCCTTTGGGCCCTCTCCCCCCACTTTTCTTACCACAAGTCAGGCCTCCACACTTCCCAGCCCTGGGACTCCCCGAAACCCTGGGCTACAGCCAGCAGCTTGTGCTCAGTGTTCACATCAAGCTGAGGTGGCAGGAGGCCTTGTTCGAAAGGGAGCCAGACTTGAACCCTCAGTAGGCCAAAATGCTCAGACCTTGCCTGGAAGCCTGGTGGCCCACAGCCAGGAGCCTTGTCAGGCGGAACGGGTGGGAGGGGGCAGGCAGCCAGGCCAGCTCCTAATTCAATTTGGAGCCCTAGGAGGATGGATTTCAGCTGCTACATTCTTTCCCAGCCTGGGCCTACCCCCCACACCCACCCCAAGGCCAACCAGACAGGTCCAACAGCAGAGTCTTTATGTTTCAGACAGCAAATTCAGATACAAAAGCCCATCGCCACCATCCCTCATGCCCTGTCTGTCTGGGACTGGGCTGAGGGAGACACAGGTGTGGGGTGGGGACGTTGGGGGGTTCACAGCAGACTCATGTTTCAAATGTGGAGGTAGGGAGCTCCTCTGGAGGGGGGTGGAAGAAAGGGGGGATTATTGCATTTGCTGAGGGGGAAAGCCCCCCCTTTGGATCCCCTACATTAAGAAACCAGGGAGGTCAGGACCCCCAAACAAAACCCGAGGCCCCAGAGAGACAGAGACACCAGTTTGGCAGCTGATGTGGAAAGTACTGGGGGCGGGGGGACTAGTTGCCCAATCTGGCTGGTCCTTCCTAGAGCCTGACCTGGCTGAGGTAGGTGGGGAACAGGGCGGGAGTACAGGGGATCTGGGGACCCCAGCCAGGCTGGGAACCAGGGAGGGGGCGGTACCAACTGGAGTAGGGCAGGGGCTCAGCCCCACCTCCTGGCCACATCATCCTGGGACTGCTGGGCCAAGGCCAGGACGAAGGCTGGGCCAAGCCAGATGCTGGAGTCTGGGCCCTGGTGTTCCCACCCCAGGGGTTCCCGCCGGGCCAGGCTCAGGTCATTGCAAGGTCCAGTAGGAAGCCTAGTAACGGCCGACCTTGGCGTCCCCGATGGCACCCCAGACGTCAAAGACGAATTCATCAGGGAAGGCAAAGTCACCAAGCCGCTCATCTAGGGCCTCAGCCAGCTCGTCTGGGTTCCTCTTGTCCTTCCCAAGCTCCACCATGGTGGCCGCTGTGGGTGGGGGGAGCAGAATGGAGGCACAGAGAGTAGAGGTGCTCGTTCAGGTAGACTCAGTCCACAGGACTTAGAAGCCTCCTCCCCAAGCCTCCCACCCATACCCAGATTGAAGTGCCAGCCACTCACCCAACTCTGTGTCCCTAATGCCCATGTAACTCTCCAGCAGGTCATCGACTTTCTCAATTGCCTTCTCCTCAAAGGCTGAGGGCTAGAGGTGGGGTGGAGGACAAACAGCAGCATCATATAATGTGACTATAACTGTAAATGTGTTTACTAAGTGCCAGGTCTCTTTTTGCCACTTCATATATTAAACCACAGTTCATTCTCATGACAACCCTGACATTTATCAGTATTATTACCACCACCACCACCACCACCCCATTTTACAGATAAGGAAACTACTAAGGAAGGCCCACTTATCCAAGAAAGGCCCTAGAGCTGGGAGGAGGCAGAGGTGGGTTTGCATCCAGTGCCTGGAGCCCCTCAGCTAACCAGGTAGTGCTGCTGCCTATGAGTGTGCAGGGAAGGGGTCTCCACTTTGAGTGCACAGAGCGGGGCCCAGCTAGAACACTCACCAGATCCTCTACTGTGGCAGGGCCCCGGGATCGCAGCCTGAGAGTCCCTCGGCCAGTGCCCAGCTGGGGGCCGGAGCCAGGACGACCACCCCCTGAACGCACGCTGATCATGTCTGTGAAAGGCAGGGGAGTTATGGTGGGGAGGGGGTGCGGGGGGCGACAAATCCAGCCTGTTCTAGACAGGAATCCAGACATCCTTGTCCCCCTCTATCTCCTCCAAGCTCCTTCAGGTTCCAGGGATAGTTGGAGCTGAGGTGACAGCAGGAGAGCAGGACTCCTGCCTCAGACTTGGCATGGATGGGGGAGGGACAGCCAGCACTGGGAAAGGAAAAGGCTGAAGGGGGAGACTGAAGTGGGCCACATCTGCTCCCAGGCCTGCAGGACAGGAAGGGGGTGGGGCCTTGATCTCTAGCTGCTCTTCCCAGGGCTAAAGGGGTATAGCTTCTGGGCCACGGACCAGCCCTATCTGCCTGGGGAAGTGTTTCAGAATCCCCTTCCCCCACCCTAGGGGCCTGCAGCCCATTCCTGAGAGTTAGTGGAGCCAGACTGAAAAGGGAGTGGGGGCTGGCACAGGTCAGCCAAGCCTGGCTTATTAGGCCTAGGGGAGCTGGCCAGGGTTGGGGGCGCTTGGCTGGGCTAATGGCTCCTGGAAGTTGGGTGTGGGGGCAACTTCCTCCTTGTCCAAGCTGGGCAGAGAGCCAGCACCCTCTCCACAAGGCAGGGTGGAGCAGTCCCTCTTTCCAATTCAGCCAGCTGGGCTTGGGCGCCACCTTCTGGTGAACCATGACACCGCAGCCTGGGCCCAAGAGAACAGGGAGTGTATATGTTGGTAGTACAGGCAGCAGCCCCCTCACCAAAGGCCTTGCGGGGCTCCGTGAGCTTCAGTGTGAAGGTGCGGCCTCGGGGAAGCTCCTTGAGCAGCCGGGCGACCTCATAGTGCCGACAGCCCAGCAGACTCTGCCCGTTGATGGCCTCAATCATATCACCCACGCTAATGAGCTGGATGTGGTCAATGACGCTACCCTCTTTGATGCGCTGGAGAGAAAGGAGCTGTTAGCCCCGTGGCTCCGCCCCTTGATCCTAAGGCCCAACCTAACCTCAGGCACCTTGATGAAGGCGTAGCCAGCCCCATTGTCCGTGATGGTGAGTCCCAGCGCCTCCTCTGACTTGAACACCTCCACCTCCTTCCGCTGCCCTTTGACATGGGCAAAGATGAAGTCCTCCAGCCCAATCTGGCCCCCCAGGAGCTTGTCCATGTCCACTTTGTGGGTGTTGAGGGTGCAGAACATCACCTGCAGAGGTGGGACACACTCAACTCTCATCTTCCCTCCCTCACCCTTTGCAAAACCGATCTGATGGAGAAGGGAGGAGAGTTTGTTAAGGCCTAGGGGTCCCCATCCCAGTGCCTGACCACCTCCAGAGCCAGAGCTGGGATGTCAGCTCTGCTACAGCTGGAATTTCTGCCCTAGCAAAAAATCCCTGCTGGTCCAGGCACAGAACCTGGCCTACTGTGGGTGCCTGGTAAATGCCTGTGTAACGAATGAAGGGCACAGACACCTACCCAGCCTACTGAGACCCCTGTAGCTACTTCTTGCTCAATCCCACTATTGCCCTCTGAGGCTCTCTTTTGTGCCCAAAGTCCTTAGGATCAGGCCTCCCTATGCATCATGGAGAAGTGAATCTTGCAACAGACTTCCAGCCATCACAATCCATTGGGGTGCAAGCCTCTCAATGTATGATGGGAATATAGCATCCAGTCCTGAACATCAGTTCCTATAATCTACTGGGGCACAGGTTTCCCAAAACCCAATGAAAACTTAGCACCCAGTCCTGGCCTCCAGGTCCCCATAATTCACTGGGGTGCCTGTCTCCCAATGCTTCCTTGGAACTCAGCATCCAGCTATGGACATCAGTCCCAAGGATTCACTGGTGCCCAGGCCCCCCAATGCCTGATGGGAACTCAGCATCCAGCCCTGGCCTCTAGTTCCCCATCATTCAGTGTGGTGCAGGCCTCAGTATCTGCAGCGTCAGCACCAGCTCAGGACCAGCATGCATGTCCAGGCCTCTAGCCCACCATCATGACCCTGGGGGCTCCCTGGTAAATACCTCAGCAGCTGGCAGTCGGAAGGCCTCGGCAATCTTGCCATACAGCTCCTTGACGTTGGTAAAGCCCTCGATTCGACCAGTGGGACTGCCATGGGCCAGCTGGGTGTGGAACACGAGGCGGGGCCGCAGGGCCGGGGGAGGGGGAGGCAAGCCCATTTGGGGCCCTCCTGCCCCACCTCCACCCAGGGGCCCTGGCTCCCCAACGCCCAGTCCACTACGACCTGGCTCAGCTTCCTCATTTTCCACCAGAGGTGGCGCCTTTTTCCGCCGCCCCAGTCCCAGCGGCATGAGCGGTGGGAAGAGGGAGCACGCCCAGGAGATCTGCAGGGTGGGGAGTGGGCTTAGGGCCAGGGCAATGGTTCCAGGCCATCTCTCCCCCACCACTACCACTCCCCAGGCCCAATGACACAGTCGGATCAAACAGCCTCTGTTCGCATCTCTGTCCCAAGACTTTGACACTCATACCTAATATTAGCAGCTAATACCTATTACGACCCCATGCTGACTGCTCCATGACCTTACACCACATTGTGATGTCGGGATCATATTATGTTATGATTACACCCACTTAAAGGATGAGAAAATGGAGGCTCAGAGTGGTTAGAGTTCTCTTTGTTTTTCTATCAGTCGCAGTCGTTAATGCTGTGCAAAATATTTCCGACTCTCCTGTCAGAGCACATAGGCAGATGGCACTCACTGACCTCCTTATGACTGGGCAGACATGTCACTAGCTCTGTCCAATGAGTGTGAGAGAAAGTAACACATGTCATTTTTGGACTGAAGCATTTAACTGCTAGAGCAAGAGCCTTCAGAGGTCTGTTTCTCCCTGGCAGGGTGACCAGCCACAATTGATATGGTGGCGGCTCCATCAGGCCAGGCCCTGAGTAACTACAGTGAATGGAACTTCCTGCTGAGCTGCAATGGACATGGAGCAGGAATGAAAATTAAAACCTTTATTGAGTTCAGCTACTCAAATTTTTGTTCAGCCAGTAAGTTGTCTGTTATTGCCGCACAACCTGTCCTGGCTGATACACTATTTTTCTTTCGTCTCTCCCCATACTTTCTTTCTCTCTCTCTTACTCCCTCCCTCCAAACAAATATTTTTTTTAGTATTTACAGAATTCCACACACCATTTTAGATACTGCCTTCAATAAGCAAGGTCCCTGACTAGGGCCACCATGTGCAGTTACGCAGTGACACTGTGCAGAAGCACCAGACCCTGGTGTGGTGATGTGTGTGCTGGGAGGAAGGGCTGCCTTTTTCTAAGTCACTCCTAGGTGCTACATTGGCCAGATGGGGCCCTGTCCATGATGTCCAGGAGCAAGCAGTTCGGAGGAGGAGGTGCAAATACCTAATACAAGTTTTCATAATCCCATGAAGACAATAAAACAAGAAAAGTTCTATAGACAAGGTCAGGGAGGCCTCTCTGAGCAGGTTATAGCTGAATCTGAGACTTGACTGATGGACAAAAGCATCCACATGAGGATGTGAGGCAAGAATGTTCCAGGCAGAGGGAACGGCTGGTACAAAGTCCCTGAGGTGCTCGGCATACCTGAGGAAGAGCAGGGAGGCCCGTGTAGTTGGAACAGAGTGAATAAAGAGGAGGAACAGCAGGAGGAGGTAAGGGTGGGGAGGTGACAGGCAGATGCAGCAGGGCCTTGAGGGCTGCAGGGAGGACTTGGGCTTTTGCTCTGAGTGAGATGGGCAGTGTGGAGGGTTCTTGAGACTTACAGACTCAAGCTCACAGAGCAGCTAGAGACCAGTGTGGATGGAGTGGAGTAAGCAATAGAAAGGCATGAAGAGGAAGGGTAAAAGAGGTGACATTAGCCAACTGTGTGGGGCCTTACAGGCTGGGAAAGAGTTGAGATTTCATTTTTCAATCACATGTCCAAAGTCACAGAGTCTGGCTGCATCCTCAGGTTTGACTTCCAAGTCCAAGTTCATAACCACAAAGCTGTCTCCTAAGCAGCTCAATCTTCCTGGGCCTTAGATGCTTGGCCTATGGATGGGGACACTGTATCTATCCCTGGCCAGGTTGTGGCAAGGATCAAATTATACCAAATTATATTTTTCTGTGTAAAAGACTTCCTGTTCCCTCCCTTTAAATTGCCTCTTCTGGGAGCTGTCCTGGATTCAGTTGAGCCCAGTGGGCTGCTCCCATTCTCCTGTATCCATCCATTTGTTCATTCATTCATTCATCATTCTCCAACACTTCCTCTGGTGTCACCTGGTCCAGCCCCATCATCACTCACCTAGACTAGTGCAGTAGCCTCCTCTGGGTCTTCCAGCTTCCACCCTTGCCCCTCCACGGTCTCTTGTCAAAACAGCAGCCAGAGTGGTCCTGTAAAATATAAGCCATATCACAACTATGTTCTGCTCTGAATCCTCCCAGGGCTCCTCACTCAACTGGAGTAAAAGCCAACATCCTCCCCTTGGCCCATGGGCCACCAAATATCTGTCCCTGTTACTTCCCTGCCCTCCTCTGCTCTCTTTCTCCCCCTCACTCACCCCTTCAGTCACATTGGCTTCGTCCCAACACATAGGCCTCGTCCAGCCTCAGGGCCTTTGCACTGGTTGTGCTCCCTGGTAACCATACAACTCATTCTCTCACCTCTTTCACGTGGAAAATATATTTCATTCGTTTATCTTGCTCACTATCTGTTTCCTGAAAGGGCAGGGAATTCTGTCTGTCTTATTCATCCTTATATTCTCAGTGCAGAGAACAGTGCATGGCACATAGCAAGTGATTGGTAAATATTTGTTGAATGATTTATCCTAATATTCACCAGCCCACCAGACCCTGTGTCCAGCTCTGGGGAGACAAAGGGGCACTACAGTCTATAGTCTCTGCCCTCAAGAGGGTCTTGTCTCCCCAGCAAAAACACAAGCCCCACCGCTGTAGTCCCCTACCCCTTGCATCCCAGCACAGAGCTGGGCACAGGGCAAGTGCTTCATCTAGCCATGGAGACAGGTGCTGTATCTCTACCTTTCATCATGTTTTTTTTTTTTTTTCACTCTCCTCATAATCAATAATGTGGAATACCTTTTAATACATTTATTAACCACTTGGATTTACCCTTTTGTAACTTTCCTGTTTAAGTCTTTGCTCATTTAAAAAAATTGCACAGCCTGTCTTTTTTCTTATTGATTTATGGGAACTCTTTACATATTCTGAATACTAGTCTTTTATTGGTTACTTCCATTGATACCCATCATTGGACCTAGCACACAGTAGGCACTAATTGGATATTTGACAAAAAATAAATTCTGAATGAATAAACCAATACTGCCTTGTCAAGTTATTTCATTACACTCGATGATAAAAAAAAAAACAAACAAACCCTCATCATCACCTCCCCCGATTCTCCTCCCCCACCATACACTACAACAGGCAGAATGTTAAGAACATGAGTCTGAAATCTGGCTTCCCCAATTAACAGCTGTGTGGCCTTGGGCAATTGTCTCAAGCTCTCTGAGTCCTAAGGAACACATGCCTGGAACAGTTCCTGGCACACAGTATAAGGGTTCCATAAATGTTGATTATTACTATTTTCATCTATAAATATAGAAGATTCAAACTTCCTCTTTTTCCCAGGACCCTGCGTTCTATTCCCCAATTCCCAACCTCCTACTCTCTCTGTCCACTTGCTACCCTGGTTCAGGCTGCCTGCTGTGTCCTCACCTGTGAGAGGGGAATAATGATGGTGAAGGAAGTGGGTGATTAATGAATTTGTCCTCCAGGCCAGAAGAGGCAGGGTGGCCTGGGTTCAAATCCCATCCTTGCCACTTACCAGCTGTGCAGCTGTATGGCAAGTCACTCCACTTGACAGGGCCTCAGTTCCCTCAACTGAAAAACGAACAGAATTCCTGTCTCACAGTGCTTGTGGGAATTCGAAGAAATTATGCACGTAACTTGCCTCACAGTCAACTTAAGGAAGCTGTTATTATTGCCATTATTATATTGACTTCTTCCCTGTCCTGTCCAGGAACATCTCAGTCCTCTCTGCCTGCCAGGACCTACTCCACTTCCTCCAGGCAGCCTCCTCAGCTTGCCCCAGCCTCTTAGAATCAGCCCCGGGGTCCAGACGGCACAGGCCCATGAACTTAATTACATGTTGCCCTAGCAGAACTCTTGTCTTCCAGTCGTAGGCTGTTATTTAACTCCATGTCTCTATTTTAAAATGTAAACCAGATCATGTTACTCTCCTGCTTCAAATCTTAAAACAATTTCCCACCTCATGGAGAAAAAGCTCCAAACTCCTTAATGCAACCCCCTGACTCACAGAATTGCCACTTTGGTCGCATCTCCTGCCCAGCCACCCTATTGCAAGCTCGGCCCAGCCTCAGAGCCTTTGTCCTGGCTGTGCCCTCTGCCTGATCTTTCAGGGCTGGCTCCTTTTTGTCACTCAGGCCTCAGCTCCAAAGTCATATTCTCTGACAGCCCTCCTGCCTAGAGTTTCTATCATGCTGCCCCCTCATATTTCATTCATAGCATTTATCCTCATCTGTAGGTATCTTCTTTATTTACTTGTTAGCTTGTTTGTTGCCCATTTCCCCTTGCAAGAGCAAGGATTTTTGTCTTGTTCACTATTGAACCCTCTGTGCCCAAAACAGTGCCTGGTACAGAGTAGGTACTAAGTAAATATTTGTAGATGAATGAATGTATCTTATATCTTCATTCTGAGTGTTCTCTGAGCCCCCTAATCCTCAGATTGCTGTGAGGCTGCTAACTGCCACCCTCTCCCCTCATTTTCAGGCTCCCCTCAAACCTGAAAACAGGGCTGGAGGAGTTTCAGCCCCCGCACTGAGTGAGTTAGCTGGAATTCTAGCATCCCCACCCTCTCTTCCTTGTGAAGGGCCTGAAACTAGCAATCCTGCAGCCACACAGAATGGGGGGATGAGGAAGCAGTGAAGGGGGTTCCTGGGAGCTCACACAAATTCAGGGACAGGAAACACCCAGGTTCCCCTGTCCATCAGGGTAATGCTCTGGAGAGGAGGGCGGGAGGCCTCTGATTCAATCTTGAAAAACCAGCTCCTGGGTGTTTCCCGGGAGAACACCTACTGCCTTGGCATGGGCCCAGGCTTCCTAGGGGCGCCCAGCAGGCATGGGACCCCAACATCCTGACCTCCTATCTCCCTTAAAGATGTCACTTTCTTCTCAGAACCCAGGTACTTCAGCCTTGCCTTCCAGCTCAGGGAAGAAGGGGGTGTGGGGAGAAGACCTGCAGGTGTGGCCCAGGTAGTATGTGTGGTGTTTGTGTGTGTGTGTGTGGTGGTGGTGAGGGAGGTGGAAAAAGGGTATGAAGAGGGGAAGCTGGGCAGCCAACAGCAGGTAGAAGAGCTGTTCAAGAACATCTGAGCCATGGAGCCACTGAACATGTAGTCTACTGGTTGCGACTCCAGTTCTGGCCTCTGAGGTATGGGTTTGAGTTCCCAATCTACCACATCCTAGCTCTGTGACCTTAGACAAATCATTCCACCTCTCTGGGTCTGCTGCTTCACTCATGAAAGAAGTTAACAGTAGCTTCCATGAGGTGTTTAAATTCAATGATCTGCATGGCAAATACCTGACACGGAAGTGTTCAATGAATGCCAGCCGGATGATTGTTTTTTCATTATTATTATCCGGACCTCGGTCTTTACCAAGGTTCCCTGGGCCCTGGAGGATTGGGGTACGGTCACCTCCAGGGAGATGCCTGGGTAGGGCTTAGAAGTATTAACCCCACGTCTGTCCCCGCGGGGATGAGGGCTGTCCAGAGGGGTGCAGGGGACAGGGGTGCGGCTGGAGGCCCCATCCTAGCGGTGGGAGGCTTGGCCCCCGGCACCTAGAGGGAAGGGACACGCCCGACTGGGAAGGGGCCTTGGGCATGCCCTCGCCCGCCCAGCTGATTCCAACCGCGTCTATGGGGCCGGCCCCACCCCGTACGATCAGCCGGATCCCCGCAGGTCCGCGACAGGGTCCCCGGAGCGGCAGCGCCGTGACCCGCCTGCTGGGATCACTCACCTGCGCCGCCGCCTGCGTGCGGGAACCCAGCTCTGCCCTCCGCAAACTCCAGACCCGGCCTCTCCCGCAGCCGCGGACAGGGGGCGGGGCTGGAGGCTGAGTTCAGCTAATCAGGAGTTGCCTCCCGGAGCTCAGGGCCAATCCGCACCACGCCTCAACCGGTCGGGTGGGTCCTACGAACACATTCCAGAGGGATCTCTCCGCCTCGTCCGGCTCTTCCAGACCCCCCCCGCGCTGTAACACATTGGACTTTTCCGCCTCGCCTAAGCCGCTGCAGGCTGTACCACCGCAGGGATGCGGAGGGGGGAGCTGCGACTGGGTCCCGGCCAATCGAGGGGAAGGAAGGAGACGAGCGACCAATAGGAAGCTGGGGGCTCTGGACCCGGTGCGGTTAGCTGGGAGTCTGTATGCGGATATTGGGTGGTGAGCGGCGGTGTGGGGCTGGTCATGGGAGTCACGTGACTAAAGCTGAGTTTTGGGGAGAGAAGGCAAACTCTCAACGTCCGGAAAAGCGAACCCTCTAGGAGGTCTGAGAAGGAGCAGAGGGCGGCCCTCAATCCAGTTCTCCACCCGGCCTGCTCTGCCCCAGCCCGGCCATCCTCGGAGCGGATAAAAAGATGCATTCATTCCAGGCTGGCGGGAGGGGGACCGAGATGAATAGGGAGGGTCCTGAGTGTCCCTGCTTCCTGGGGTGTACAATGGACAAGGACATTCATTCATTCATTTATTCACTCATCAAATATTTAATGTGCCCCTGCTCGGTGCCAGGCTCTGTACTGTCTCTACTTACACACCGACGGTGTCCACCTGGTGGAGAGAACAGCGCGTGCAAAGCCCTGGAAGTCGGACAGAGAGAGAAACCACTTTAGGATAGAGTAATATATAGGAGATAGATAGCAAAGCAGTGTGAAAGGGTGCAAGGAAGACAAGAGCGTGATGGTTAGATCAGCAAATATTTATAAAGCACATACTAAATGCTAGATTTCAAAGGGTACCCAGGCAACTCAAGCCTCTGGGAAAAACCCGCCACCTCAGCCTGTACAGAGCACACATGTATGCATGAAAAGACCAGGTGATCTCACCATCTCCGGGTTTGGCTTGTAACCGGGATTGCTCAGGCGCGAGCAAATCCGAGAAACAAAGATGCAAACGCACCTCTCAAAGGCCAGGACGCTCAGTTCCCAGGACAGGCGAGAGATTTCCTTGTTGTAGTTCAAAACTGGCAACTCGGGCAGCTAGGCCAGGAATTCGCTGTGTGTCCTGGAAACTGTAGTTCTTGGAGGCCTCTAACTGCTAAGACCCTGCTCACGCCTCCTTAAGTGACTGGGTCTTTGCAGTTCCCGGAGTGAGCTGCTGTGCATCCTAGCCTGGCCGGGGCCCAGCAGAGAGGCAAAGTGAAAGGGAAGAGTGGGCCCTGGGCTTAGCTGCTGAGGACTGCCTGTTCGGGCCCCACCCAGCTGGCAAACACTGAGCTTGCCATGGCAACAGGTTCAGCTATTGTCCTCTCCTTCCTGTTCTGCTGACCTTTATCATTCCCACTGATCCATTGTTTGCCTCAGCCAGTCCAGTGGCTTCTGTGGGACTATGCCCACTGCCCTTGTTGCACCTGACATCTGAGTTGCTCCCTACACACCTGGAGAGGGCAGGATGTAGGGCCACAGCGACAGTAGTGTCCTGAGCCAGAATCCACCTGAATCCACATGTTGACTGATGAGGCAGTGCCCAGGGAGGGGTAAGGGAGTTGCCCAAGGGCACAGAGCAGCACATGGCATCCCCTACCCTCTTTTAGAGTTCAAGAGGCATGCCTGAAAACAGGCTGTGAGACCCAGCTGGTAAGGAGCCCAAATCTGAGCATTACGCCTGTCCCTGTGGGGAAAAAAAAATCTGTTTGAAAAAAATCTAATAGAATGCCAACTATTACATGCAAAAGGAAAGGTTGACTTAGAAAATCACCATTTTGCAGCCAGAAAATGAATAAATAATTCAGGCAAGGCTTATAAATGAGGAAGTGGATATTCAGTCTCAAAGAACCAGCTCACAGATTACTTGTTAATTATAATGGGTTGAAGATACCAGTGGGGAAACCTGGAAGTCACTACCTTAACCAAGTGATCAAAGTTAACATCACCAGTGATGGCACAGGCCATGTTTATGTGCCCCCTGCTGTGATGTTTGGAGCTGGACATAACCATCTGCAAAATCCTTTGCCCTGCCTAAAGTCTTTAACTTGAATCTAATCTTGAGAAGAATCAGACACATCATGATTGAGGAATACTCTGGGATGAAAGGAAGAAAGGAAGAGAGAGGGAGAAAAAGAGGGCGGGAAGAAGGAACGGAAAGAAGGGGAAGAAGGAAAAAAGGAAGGAAGGGAGAGAGAGGAAGGAAGAAAAAGAAAGAGAGAAAGAGAGAAAACTGACCTGTACTCTTCAAGCAGATCTATGTCATAAAAGGCAAAATCAATCCCTTAATCAAATGAATGAATAAAAGCCCTGGCTGGTGTGGCTCAGTGGATTGAGTGCCAAGCCAGCCTGTGAACCAAAGGGTCACAGGTTTGATTCCCAGTCAGGGCACATGCCTGGGTTGCAGGCCAGGACCCCAGTAGGAGACTCACAAGAGGCAATCACACATTGATGTTTCTCTCCCTCTCTCCCTCCCTTCCCCCTTCTCTAAAAATAAATAAATAAAGTCTTAAAAAAAACCATCTGGGGAACAGTTCTAGATTGAAGGAGGCAAAAGAGAGACGACTGCCAAAATTTGTATGATCCTTAATTGGATCCTGCATAAAAATTTCAAAAAAGATAAAACAGTTAAACAGTTATAAAGGGTATTCTTGGGATAATTGGGGATATTTGAGTGTTGAGTGGATATTAAATAATAATATCACGTTCACGTTGAATTTCCTGAGGGCAAGCATTGTACTTCATTGTGTAACTGTGGTTACACAAGAGAATGGTCTTATTTTTGGGCAATACACACTGCATTATTTTGTGGTAAATTTGTGATGGCTGCAACTGCTAAATAGTTTAGAAAAAATTATGTATACAGTACTTTATATGCAGTATCATAATATGGTGTACATTAGTATTAATATATAAGGAAAGAGAGAGATTGAGAAAGCAAATGTGGCAAAATAACAATTCAGGAGAGTGGTGTATATGTATATATATATATATATATACACACACACCATATATATATATACCATATATATATATATATATATATATATGGATATTTATTTTATTATTGTTGTAAGTTTTCTACAGCTTTGAAATTTTCAAAATAATCATTGCAGGAAAATACTCCCATTTCTTTCCCATCCCCAGAGGCAAACTTCTTTTTTGTGTCTTTTTAAAAATATATGCACTGTGCCCTGGCTGATGTAGCTCAGTGGATTGAGCATGGGCTGCGAACCAAAGGGTTGCCAGTTCAATTCCCAGTCAGGGCACATGCCTGGGTTGCAGGCCAGGTCCCCAGTTGGGGCACATGAGAGGCAACCACACATGATGTTTCTCTTCCTCTCTTTCTCCTTCCCTTCCCCTCTCTCTAAAAATAAATAAATAAAAATTTTAAAAAATATGCACTGTTTTATGTAGGTGCTCTATTATATTGGGCTTCTTACTTTTCTCCCTACTCAGCATGGTACTGCTTGTTTGCTTGTTTTGCACTGTACCTTGAATATCCATCTGTATTGCTAATTTATTGACTCTGTTTTCTTCTAAATTCTCCTTAATGCTCCATGAGCTGCCTCCCTCATAACTTATTCATTTTACCCTCAAGGGTGGTCATCAGACAGCCAGCCTCCAGCTTCCCACACCACAGAGGACAGCCATGGACATACCTCTTTAGGGACCTGGTAAAAATCTCCCTAGAGATACTTGGATGTAGAGATGCTGGGTCACAGGGCAGAGTGAATTGTTGTGTGGCCCCTCAAACTAGCTGCCCCCATCACACCCACTGGCAGTACTGGAGGGTCCCATGTTCCTACATTTCCACCAGTCATTGGCATTATCCAGCTTACTAATTCTTGCCATTTCACTCACTGTAAATTAATATCACCATTGCTTTATTTTATATTTGTCTAATTTCTAATCATTTTGAGCATATCTTCATTTGCTTGATGGCCTTCTGGTTCTCCTCTTCTGTAAAATACCTGTTCATAGCTTCTGCCATGTTTGCACTTGATCTTGCTATCATTTCTTGTTCATTTGCATGAGTTTCTTGTAGAGTGTAAATCTGCACTATACAATCTGATATGACTTGAACGTTTTGCTCTCATGGGGTTATTGAGAACTTAAAAATAGCTAATACAAATTGAGATGTGCTGTTGGTGTAAAACACATACTGGATTTCTAAGACTTAGTGGAAAGCAAAGAGGATGTACAATACCACACCTCATTAGCTGCTTTTTTATACTGATTACATGCCATCATAATAATGTGGATGTATTGGGCTAAATTAGATGTTATTCAAATTAATTTAACTTTTTTTTACTATTTTAATGTAAAATTTAAAATCACACGTGCACTTGCAGAGTTCTATTGGATAGAACTGGGATATAGAGCCCTTGTCAGTTTCAGCAATAATAGATAATGCTTAGATAGAGTTTCCTAGATGCTAGGCACTGTTCTAAGAAATTTATATTTATTAAACTATTTAACTCTCCTAATGATCCTCTGAGCTGGCTACAGTGTCCAGCTTTGCAAATATATTCTTCCATTCCATCATGTGACAATTTACTCATGACATTCTTCATTGGAAGGAAATTCTTAATTTCAGTGTAATAAAACATCCACTTTGTGGTTTGCACCTGTAAAATGTAACTAAGAAGGCCCTTTCTATTCTCAAATCACAAAGGTATTTTTACTCATTTTCTTCTATTCATTCTCTAGTTTTAATTTCTCCATGTCTCTAGTCCACCTTGGGTTGTGGGATAGGACACAGTCATATTCCTCCATAACCTGCCCTGTTCACCAGCTATGCGACCCTGGACAAGCACCTTCCCCCATGTACCTCAGTGTCCTCATCTGTAAATTGGAGTTCATCATCATAGGAAATGGGCATAATAATTCTAAAGTTGTTTCAATTCTATAGGATGCAATGAACTATTTTGTGTCAAATGCCTACAGTGGTGCCTTGTGGGTAGCAAGTGCTCTGTGAACATCTGTATTATCAAACTGCACTGAAGGCACAGGAAAGAATAAACACCATATGTCATAAAAGGAACATGATAGAAATAGAAACCCTTATTAAGCTCTTACTGTGTGTCAGGCCCTGTGTTGACTGCTTTTTAGGAGTAATCCCACTGGATATTGTCCCCATTCTACAGACAGGGAGACAGAGGCTCAGAGAGGGGGATCCACAGGCTCAAAGTTGCACAGACACGCATGGGTGTGGCACTTCAGCTCCAACCGCAGCACACGGGACATCCCTCTGGGAGTGTGAGTCTCATCTTCCTCAGTTTGGAGCCTGACTCTGAGGTGTGGGGGACAGGGCGGACTGAGGAAGGGTGGTGCTGAGGCACGTTGCCCTGGGAGACTGATCTCAGAGTCTGATTTCTGGCTCTTAGTGGCCTGTAGGTTGGACTCCTCTTGTAGCCAGGCAGGACTGGAATGAGAGGGACAGGCCCAGAGGGGAAGCAGAGTAAGTGGCCCTGACTAGGCTAGTGGCCCTAAGTGACATTGGGTCTCAGCCTTGGCCTGGCGCCTGCCCTTGGCTAGTGGATTTTAGGAAGTCATGATAAAATTTGGCAGTAGTGCTATTTTCTGGATGGGCAGATCTCCTTTCAAAACAACATCTCCAATTATTTGCCAACACCTTGGCCCCACCTGGTCTAGCCCCATCATCTCCAGCAGTTGACTTCTCTCTGGTCTCCTGGCTCTTTCCTCGCTGCACCCGGTGTCTGTTTTCCCCACAGCCGCTAGAGGGCGCCTGTGAGTACGGAAGTCAAGTTCCCGTCCCCTATCCCCACTTCCAGCCTTCTCTGCTAATCACCCCCGACCCGACCAAGAGGCCCTGTGCCCTCAAAACACCCTTTGCTTAAGTATTTCATCTGAAGTCAGGCCTGGCTATGTTGATGTCCAGCATAATCTTCCCAAGGAAACTTGGGCCTCCAGTTAGACAAACCGCCCAGGTCCCAGTGCCAACTTCCTGGTAAAAGGAAATCACACAGTGTCTCTCTTGAATCAGACTCTTTCAACCAGCTTCTCTGCCCGCCCTGGGCATGTAGGCCTGTCTCAGCAGGGCCCAGACACCAGGTCTGTCTTAATCATGGGCACGCCCCACCCTATTTTCTCCAGCTCTCTTCAGACCACACCAGGCCTCAAGCTCTCACACTCCCCAGGCTTGCTGGGTCCACACCTGCCAC